TGAAAAGATCCATTCATTTATAACCTTCCGTATAGATTGATGTTAGCGACCTTTTCCCAACCCTACAATCAAGCCTGCCTATGAACTCCCTTCGCTCCCCCGTGTGGTCGGTCTACAACGGCGAAGGGGACCCCTTTGACGTCAATGGGGCCGAGGGCCACAAGCCCTACGTCCCCTTCGTCTCGGAGGTGCCGCCTTTTCTTATGCTTCGCTCCTCCGGGCTGGAGAAGGAGGGGCTGATTCGGTACGGGGCGCAAAGCGCCGTGTACGCCGCCTACGATACCCGACACTCCCCGACGGCCGCGCCGGAGAGTTCCCGGCCCTTCCGGCGGCCCCAGGTCGCCGTCAAACGTCTTTTCACCCAACAAAACGACTTTGGCATCCGCGGCATCGCGGAGACCGCCCTCCGCGAGGTCGCCCTTCTTCGCCTGATCAAACAAAAGCAGGACGAATGCCTGGGCTCGACTACACCCCTCCATCCCCGGCTCGATCTGGACGAATCCCCCCACAATGGGAGTTCGGCGGCGTCTTTTTCGTTCTCGAGGACGCCGGCGATGCCGCTTTTGGATTCCACGGCGTGTATTCTGAATCTCTACCGAGTCGTGGAGGCGCCGCACAAGGAGCTTTGCCTGGTGATGGAGCTGTGCGCGATGGATTTATCCCAAGTGGTCATCTCCCACACGAAAAAACTCACCGCCTGCCGCGATTTAGACCTCGCGTGCGCTTTTTCGCCCCCGCCGTTGGTTGTTTCCGGGGGGAAGGCCCGGGCGGATCCGTCGCTTCGCCCGGAGCCGGGGACGATTCATCAGATCGATCGAAAACGATGCCCCATTCTCAGCCAATTGAGCGTCGTCCGCTATCTGCTTCGTCGTCTTCTCCGCATGGTCAGCTTCATTCACGACGAGTGCGGGATTCTTCATCGGGATTTAAAACTCAGCAATATTCTTATTACTTCGGAGGGGGATCTGCGGCTTTCCGACTTCGGATCGGCGCGGTTTCGCATGCCGGGGCCTGCGAATCCCCCCGCCGCCCCAAGGGTGGCCGAGATGAGTTATACCCCCGCCACGATGCGCACGACGAAGATCTACCAGTCCCCGGAGTGCCTGTTAGGGGACTGTCTGTACTCCACCGCGATGGATATGTGGTCTGTGGGGATTATCTTTGGCGAACTCATCCGGCAAAGTCATTTATTCCACGGGGACAGTGAGCTGGCGGTGCTTGGGGAGATTTGGGTGCTTCTGGGGGTGCCGCCCACGGGGGAAGCGCGGTCGACATCGCATGCATTGTATGCCGCCGCCTCTTCAACCCCCCCGCCGGAGCTCAGGGAGGATCCACGGCCTTCGGGGGATCCTTTGAGTGGCGTCCCGGCGGACGCGCGATTGCGCGCGAAATTCCCCCCCACCGCCCTGCCCGAGGACGGCTTTGATCTGCTCCGGCGGTTTCTCTGCCTCGACCCGCCTCGGCGTATTTCCGCCCGGGAGGCTCTCCATCATCCGTTCTTGGCCTTTAAAGGCGACGCCGCCGAGGACGAGGCCGGGGAGCGATGTTGGCGGGAAAAAGTGGTGGAGGCCCTGAAGAATATGCGGGAATCGGTCAGGGTTCAGATGCCTGTGCTGGCCGAGGACTCCGACGACGACGCCTATGATGTAATACCGAACTTTGCAATTAATTTGTCTTAGCGAAGGCGTGGGAAGGTGGGAGCCACTTCCTATTTGCAGATTTTTGGTTTAGTGATTTAATAAACCTAAAAAAAAAAAGAGAACATTGTTTACCTGGTCTCCGAAATATGCAGGGTAGGTGAAAGCTTTTATCCCCATTGGCATTTTATTTTACTAGAAATAGAATCTATCTGTATCGATACCAAATTCTTACAGGTTGCCCGTAGCGTATTTTTTATCACGCGACGATTACGATTCTATAAACAGGCAACCCTGTCTGTTGCCTAGGATTACCGGGAATCGCCCCCTATTCCCCCACCCCGCCGACCTCTTTTTCAACGACGGCCGCATGCTCTATCAGACCCTCAAAGTTCGTCGTAAGGCGATCCCCGCGGAGATCAAGGCCTCGTACCGCAAACTCGCCCTCCAAGCCCATCCTGACCGCCCCGGCGGCTCGCAGGGCGACTTTCAGAAACTCCAAAAAGCCTACGAAATCCTCATGGATGCGGAAAAGCGAGCGGAGTACGACAAACGACTGGACAAAAGGTACGAACGGCTCCGCAACTTCACCCGTCCGGAGCCTTTCGCGAAGGTGATCAGCCCGGCCGGGTATAAACTCGCGGATGATCAATTTTACGTCTTCGAGACCGCCCCGGAGAAGGTGCGGTGTCGGCTGCGCTATGGCGATATTGTGGAATATCAGCAAACGCAAGGCTGCTTTGTCGGGCTTTCCGCGGATTTTTTCTTGTATTGGTGTCGCGAAGGGCACGATTACGCGACGCCGCTTTGTCATACCGCGAGCGATTTCGCCCTGAGCGATATTAAAATTATTCAACGGTCGAATTTAGACAGGGGGAAGATTCACGTGGCGGTGCCGCGTTTTAATTTGAATCGCCAGCATGCCAAAAAAGGCGCCGACGACCCTTCCACCGCGGACAATCCCTCGACGCCGTTCACGGCAGCGGGGGGTCGACCGAATTCAACCTCGAGGGCGAGGAAAATATGGGAGCGGCTTTGGTTAAAAGAATACGTTCGGATGATTAATCAGAAGCTGAAGATTCTCCTTCCGGACGAAATCTACAAGCGCCATGCTATCGAGGCGGAATACGCTAAAGAACTTGCGCAGATCCAATCCAAGCTCGCGCTCGCTTTGCGAGAATTATCGCCCGAGGTTTCGGTGGCGTCTAAAACAGAGAAGGTGGCTGACAACGAAACGTCTTCTTCTCACACAGAAACGCCTTTCCATTCGTTGATATTGCGGAATCCGAAAAAGGAGAAAAATGATTTTTACAACGGCACGACCGCTTTTAACAATCCTCTATCGGACGATTCCATTCCGAATGGGCTATCGGGTGAACCCTATCATTTTTATTCGACCTCGCAATCGCATGGAGGCGTGGAGTCGAAGTTTCTTTCCTACCTCAATGACATTTCTAGCCTTGGCAAGAGTTCCCTTCGAGGGCGCCGTAGCCTTCCGAGCGAAGGGCCGATCTCGGAGGATTTATTGGAAAACTCCCCAAATTCTAGTGGTCGGGGTAGTTCTACCAAACGGCGATCTTTTTTACGGATGAATAATAATCAAAATGACGGCGAACAATTTAAAAATTTTATAAGGCGCCTTACGATTAGTGAGGCCGCGACGGAGACGGACTTGGAGAGTATTATATCCAACGAAGGCATCAACGGCACGCAGCGGAACTACGAGAGCGAAGAGGAGGAGACCTTCTTCCAAATCCATGTCGTTTCCGAGGTCTCCCCCCCGGGGTCGGCCAAATTGCCCGTCAAAGACGCTTCCGATTTACTGGAAGCCTTTGACAGCAAAAATGACAACACCACCTTTACGCTGAGCCCGCCCGGGGCCTCGATGACGTCTTTTCCGTCGGAGATGGCGTCGACGAATGGGCCGCTGCGCAAGGCGGCCCCCTCAGGGGCCATGCCGACTTGCCATGGCGGGGCCAACGCCCTCCCCGGCGGCGGATCGATCGGGTTGGGCCCTGCCAAGCCGCATCCGACCGCGCGGGAGGGGGCATCGCGCCCGTTGGAAGACGTGAAGGTGGAGGAAGTGAAGGGGAATGGGAATAGCAGCCCCAGGGTCGATAATTCGACTCCGAATACAATACCTGACGAGGATGCGGGGCAGCTTGAGGACCACCTCACACCTCGAGTTGCTAACACGATGTTTTCACAAACTACCACCCATAATATTTTCAAAGAAGAAGGTAAGGATGCCGCACAAAATGGTCAGAAGGAAAGGATGAGGAGTAAAACTCCTTTGCAAGGCAGAAAAAAAGCTGCTCACAATAAAACATTATCCTTTTCCAAAGGCGACCGTGACGGGTTACTAGGATCTGCTGATGTGAGGAACATCGCGAAGGGCGCGTCACGCCCTCGGAGTTTTGATCATCTCAGTGCTGAAGAGCTATTTCAGGAAGAAATAGGTTTTATTGAAGAATTTATGAACCAAGATAAGTGCTGCAAAAAAAGGCGATGATATTTTTTCCTATTATAATTAATTTCTTTGCTTTCTGTTTGATGCAAATTTTTATTGACCAAAATACAAAATAATGAATGAAAGGGTCTATATCGATGCATTAGTTGATTATGCCATTTTGAAAATCTAGGTTTTCTTTTTGATGAAGGGATCGTGGGTAAACTTATACATATCCTAAAGGTATATTTATGTGTGTTGTTAGCGTTCAAAGGGTTAGCCTTTCTTTAGGATAAACTAAAAGAACCATAACCGATATGCAAAATTATTTATACTTGCGTTTGATTGCTGTCCACTTCTTTTTTTACAATTTTGGTCAGTATTTGTTACTTCCTTTTTTTTTGTATTTACTGATAAATTAACTTTGTATTGATTTCTTTTAAGCGTATGTGATAGATTTGCTTATTTTTGCATATTCGCTTTATTGTTCTTAGAAATCCCTTCACGATAACTTGGAACATCATATGTAATAATATCTTTTCGATTTTGACTAATCCCTTTTTCCTTATCCCGTGTTTTTTTTAATATTCCCATGGGGAATATTTTAAAGCGGTGATCCTCCCAATAAGGTGTCTGCCCCCCATACCTTTATTTTCAATCCAAGACGCCATCCTTACTCCGCTATTCCCACTACTTTTTTATTTTCAACTATACATTGTTATGGCGCTCTGTCAAACTCCGCTTCAATCCCGGTTGGGTATATCCCTCCCCCCTACACCGTCACAGGCGCGCCGGGTTCGCTTGGGCTGGTGATTCTGTGCTGAGGCCTTATGATGTGTGTGATCCTTATTTTCCCCTTCTCCTTCTCTTTCTCTTGTTCTTTCGCTGTGACTGTGTTCTCTGTGCTGTGTGTGATATGAGAGAAGTAACCGCGTTCTTTCCCCGTCGTCACAGCCGGATTTGTTACAATAGCACCCCTTCTCTTTATGACAGGGCTTTTTACCTTTCAGGTGGAAAAAGGCCCTTCCCCGCCATTGGCCGCACGGGCCGGCCTTCTCGACCTCCCCCACGGGCCCGTGCGCACGCCGATTTTTATGCCCGTCGCGACGCAGGCCGCGATGAAAGGGGTCACCGTGGGGCAGTTGGAGGAGATGGGGGTGGAAATCCTTCTTGGGAATACGTACCACCTCGGCCTGCGGCCCGGTGAGGAGGCCTTCCGCGAGATTACCCGACGGAAGAACGCCGCGGAGAAAGGCCCGGCCGCCGAGGCTGACGGCGTCCGCGCGAACATGGACGGGCTTCATTTTTTCGAAGGCTGGAAAGGGAATATCTTAACCGACAGCGGTGGGTTTCAACTCGTGAGCCTGCTTAAGCTAGCAACGATCACCGAGGAGGGAGTTCGATTTCAGTCCACCCACGGCGGCGGGGGTCGAATAGCGCTGGGGGACTCTGAGGAGGCTTCGAGCGAGGAGGCGGCGAAACGGTGTTCGCTCTTGCTCAGTCCGGAGGATAGCATTCGAATCCAGAACGCCATCGGCGGCGATATCATGATGCAGTTGGATGACGTCGTCCACGTCCTCACAACGGGTCCGCGTGTGGAAGAGGCGGCGAGGCGAAGCCTTCGTTGGCTCGACCGTTCCATCGCCGCGAATGAAAACTCTCAGAAGCAATGCATATTTGGAATCGTTCAGGGCGCGTTGGATACTGAGCTCAGGCGCGAATGCCTGCAGGAGATCACGAAACGAACGGCCTGCAAGGGCTTTGCCATCGGAGGTCTCAGCGGAGGGGAGTCGAAGGACCAGTTTTGGCGGATTGTTCGTCTGTGTACTTCTGAGGGTGGGCTTCCAGAAGAGAAGCCGCGCTATTGCATGGGAGTGGGCTATCCAGAGGATATTATGGTCTGCATCGCTCTCGGTGTGGATATGTTTGACTGTGTGTTTGCCTGCCGTACGGCGCGCTTTGGCTCTGCGCTCACCTCTACTGGAAAGATTCAACTTGGAAAGCAGCTGTACGCGAACGATTCAGCGCCTTTGGATGCGGCCTGTAATTGCATGACTTGCAAGACCTACACCCGCGCTTATTTGCACGCTATTTGCTCGTCTAAACACTCTATTTCAGCTACTCTGCTTTCCTATCATAATATTGCTTACCTGATCAACCTCACACGAGGGGCTCGGACGGCAATTCTTGAGGGCCGTTTCACGGAGTATGTGCAAGATTTCTTTAGTGCATACTACCCCGATCAGAAGTATCCCCAGTGGGCCGTGGACGCACTGCGGACAGTTCACATTGAATTAAAATCAACATTATAAATAAATTAATAAAGGTTCCTAGGGCACATTGGAATGAAACTATTCCCTATCTATTGGACACTGGAGTCTTGAAGATTGGAAAATGGCAATCACTACTTTCAATCTGTAAACCTGTTTTCTGGTTCACATTATGGTTCATGACAATATATATATGTGTGTTTATTATACGTTTTTTTGCTTTATTCATGACGCTGATTTTTTTACTCTTCTTTTCTATAAGGATGAATTATCTTTCGCTTACATAGCACATATATTTAGAAAAAATGTCCATGACCATTGTTCTTCAGTGTTCTGAAGGTCGTTTTGAACGCACCATTGATCCAGCACTTTCTGTGAAGGATGCTAAGGAAGAGTTTAAAAAAAATTTCACACCACTTTCCGATTTGAATCTCGGCCAACTTGTTATTAATTATAAAGGTCAATTTATAAAAGAAGAAAGTGTATCGCTGGCTTCCTTAGATATTCAAAATAATGATACTTTGTTTTTAATCCGAAAGCGAGCCATTCCAGGGCTTGTTACCAATGAAACTCAGTGAGTTGGTTTACTATGATAAGATGATTTAGTGACTTTGTTTCAGAATAACCTATTTCAGATGTTTAGTTAGTCTTTAATTTTATCATTTTTAGAGGGGATGCGCTCCTTCTAAAAAAAATAACAAACGTCGCAAATGTATTAAAAAGGTAGATTAAATTTCTGAATGTCACCAAAATGGATGAATAGGAGAACTTATGACTTTTGTACTCCGGACGTTATTGCAGAACTTTCACGTTTAGCCTTTATAATAGCTTCTTTTCCCCCACAACCTGCACTTTCTATAGTTGAAAAATTCATTTTCCTAGGTTTTTTGTATTAGACAGGGTAAATATTGCCGTGCTGCTTCATTCGGCTGAAGCGAAAAGATAGACCGCACAGGACTCGCTTTTTATTCCTTTTATATGTATTAGCTCTTTTCGTGCATAAATTGTTTACCTTAGCTTTTATTTACTCTTTGTTAGAGAGTCCTAAACTGTTATGAAAAATTTTAACTCAGAGAACGTGACCATTATCAAACAACCTACTGATGCTGCTGGTGGATTTGTAAATCACAGTCATGCGTTTCCATCGTCCACAGTGGCCGCTATGGATTCAAATCCGTTGTCTCCAATAGCTATTCCCTTTACCACCTTACACCGGTCAAGGTTAGAAGGGATTGCGGATTCCGAACCAACCACCACCCAAAAAAGTTCTTTCCAGAAGTTCCGATCCAAGAAATCTCGTCATGAGGAATCATCAATGAAGCTAAAAGATTCGAATCCCAACGATATTTTCGAAATCGTCCCCAAGGAGGTGGTGTTTGAGTTTGACCAGCTGAATCAAGAGTACGAAGCCTCGGTTAGCTTCACGAATAAAAGTAAAAAATCCGAATTTATTCGTCTAGCCGCGCCTAAAAGCCGCTTTTTTGTGCTTTCCCCCGCGAAGGGCTCCAAGACGACGCTGAAGGCGGCCCCCGGTCTCTCTCTTCTCTATAAGCTCACTTTCCGCCCCGAGGATCTTGTGGACTACGCGTATGATATGAAAATTTCGACCGATTACGGCGATTTGACCCTGCCGGTGTGCGCGTTTTACAGCCGCGGACGGCTGCAGTTGCCGCCCGAAGTGGTGATTGAGAATTGCCCGGTTAAAGGCACTGCGAGTACGCTTTTATTTCTGCGCAATACGGACTCCAAGCCCTGCAAGTGGGGCTCTCGGGTGCCGGAGCCCTTTGCGCTCTCCCCATGCTACGGCACCGTGGCCCCGGAGGGGGGGATTCTGCCCATCCAGGTCTTCTTTAACGCCAGCGCCCTAAACAAGTGGGAGACCCACAGCTTAGATATGTTGAAGGCTCCTGCCGTCGAGGAGTGGATTACTTTTCTTCTCGGGGCGGAAGGGGATCGCGTGCAGACGCTTCGGGTGCGCGCGACCTTGTCCGAACTTCCCGTCCGCCTAGAGCAAAACGAGGTCGAATTTCCCCACACTTTTGTCAGCACCCAACGCCAGGCGGTGGTGCGCCTGGTCAACGACAGCGATCACGTCGTGCAGTTCTCCTGGAAAGACACCTACGGGGACGTGATGCCGTTTCTCACCGGATCCGAACCCGCCCCCGCGGACCTCGACGAGAAGGATTCGGTCTTTGACGATCCCGATTTTGAGATCGAGCCGGTTCAAGGGGAGCTCTATGGCAAGGCCTCGCGCGAGTTCACCGTCATTTTTAGGCCCCACATCGGCATTTCCTCCTCGGCGACGGCCTTTCTTGAGGTGACCGGGCTGCGGAAGCGGCTGCCATTGCATCTGACGGGCTCGGGTCGGGGTCCGGAGTGCAGGTTGGAATTTAATAAACTGAATATGGGAGAGGTTTACGTCAACTCCACGCGTGTTTATAAGGTTAAGATCCAAAACCAGTGCTGCATCGAGGCGCGCTATACGATTCTCCCGCCCAAGGATACCCTTTATGGTCCCTTCTTCAGTCTTTCCCCCTCCAAAGGGGTTCTGGAGCCGGGGGGGGAGGACGAGATCGAAATTACCTTCCGCGCAGCGTTCTTGGGGATTATCTCGGAGAAAATCCCCATCCGCCTGCACGGCAGTCAGGGGAGTGACCTCTGCCTGCAAACACGAGGCTTTGTGGTGGCCCCGAGCTACAAACTCAGCGTGGAGGAGGTCGACTTTGGCTGCGTCGCGTACGGCTTTTCCCATGAGCGGACCTTCCGCTTCGTGAATACGAGCCAGGTCGCGTTTTCCTACCGCCTCGAGCTGATCCCGTCCTGTCTGGAGGCGGGGGAGTTGGCGGCCCTTCCCGCGAACGCGCAGCTCGCGCCGGGCGAGGTTCGCACGATCACGGTGACGTTGATGGCGAATCTCCTCGGGCCCTACGAGACGACGTTGTTGATCTTCCTCGACGGCGTCGCGGAGGAGCTGTGGAGGCTGCCGATCAAGGCCTTCACGAAGGCCCCGAGCCTTCGCGTTCGTCCTCTTCGGCTCGACTTCGGCAGCTGCTACGTCTGCCATGACTACACCCGCGAGGTCGAGATTCAGAACGACTCGGCCTTGGCGGCGCACGTCAAACTGGTTCTTGACCCCGACGCGGTGAAGGGCGCGGCCACCCTCACCATCAACAACGTCCTGGCGGAAAGCGAGGCGTGCCGAAATCACTGCGAGGTGATTGAGGCCCACTCCACCGCGCGTTTCGCGGTCACGGTGCGCATGAATGAGATCGAGCCGGTGAGCTTCCGGATGATGTTGCACACCCTCGGCAAGGATCTCGGCACCTCGAGCGTCATTGCCCTCTCGGCCGAGGGCATCGGCCCAGTTTTGAAATCCTCCGTCAGCGAGTTGTCGTTTGAACCGCTCAAGCTTCTGGAAAGCGCCCAACAGCACTTCACCATCAAGAACGACAGCCCTATCCCTGCACAGGTTGGGCTCTACCTTGCGAAGTCCTGCCATGACGAACACGCCGTGTTTAATGTCTTCCCGAAAGAGGCGGTGATTCAGGCCAATGGGATTCTCGAGGTGACCGTCGTGGCCTGCTTGGACGACGCCAAGCTCACGACCGACAACCTGATTATTGAAAATCCCCATGACCACGACGTGTTGAAGCCGATTCCGGTCAAGGCGACGGGGAAAGGCTTCGCGCTCGTGTTGGGCCCTGACTTTCCCCTTAACAACCACTTCGGGGATTTTTTCACCGGTACGGCCGCCGAGCGCACCTTTACGCTTGTCAACAAAGGACGATGTTGTCAGGAGGTGCAGTGGCTTAACGTGCGCGGCAACCGCGTGAAGGAGGACTCCCCGCCCATTGTCTTCAAGATCCGCCCGGAGCGCGCCGTGATTAATTCCCACCAGAGCGCCACCTTTACGGTTTGCATTTTTTCGCAAAGCGAGGGGACCTTTTCGGACCAGTTTGCGCTCAAGCAGAGCGTGACCTTTAAGCAAATTTCGATTGTTCGCATTGAGGCAAACTTCATCCTGCCGTTGATCGTGTATAACACCCCATCGCTTTCGTTTTCGCATATCGAGGAAGGCTTGGCGGACGATGGGGTCGTCGTTGAGGAACCGCGCGCGATCCCGTCCGAGGACGCGGACTCCGCGGGGAAGCCCTCCTCCCCGGGCACCCTTGTCCGCGCCGAAACCCACCTCAACAAGTCCTTCTCGATGAAAAACGTCACGAGCAAGAACCTCAACGTGGAGCTGCGGATTCGCGAAAAAGGCCCATTCCACCTCGCGCGCAGCCCCAAGTTTCTCCTGCCCAGTGGCGCGACCCGGGTGGTGGGGGTGGAGTTCAACCCCCACTACCGCGCCGACTCCCTCTCGCACGAGGTCAAAAACAAGGTCATCATCAAATTCCTCGAGCACCCGCGCACGGACAGCGTGGCGCTATCCGCGCGGTTGGTCTACCCCAGCCTCGCCCTCAGCGCCGACGCCGTGGACTTCGGGACGGTCATTCGGAATACGGAGGTCCGCCGCGAGATCACCCTGACGAACCCGTCGTCGGAGGTCGCCGCGCATTTCGCCTGGCGGCTCCTGCACGTGGACATCCTCAAGGACCAGTCCGCCCTCTCGGAGAGCCTTTCCAACCGCGGCCCGAGCGAGGCGGGCTCCGCCACGTTGAACAGCAGCCTCGAGCGCGAGGGCGACAGCCGGTGCTTTGACTTCGTCCCCTTCAAAGGCCGCATCCCGCCAGGCGGGCAGCAGGTCGTGGCGGTCATTTTTAGCGGCGTTTATGGGCTCTTTCGCGGGCGGGCCCAGTGCCTGGTCCGCGGCGGCCTCGCCTACCCCCTCGCGCTCTCCGGCTCCGCGGTGAATGTCGGGGTGCAGTGCGAGCACACGCTGCTGGATTTTGGCTGCATGCCCTTCTACGCCGAGGCCAATCGCACGCTGACGGTGGCGAACCCGTCGCGCGTGATGACCCCGTTCAGCGTGGACCTCTCTAAGCTGCGAAATGGCAGCTCGGTGCGGGTGAGCCCGAAATCGGGGATGCTCGAGGGAGAGCGGCTCAGCCTAACGGTGACCTTCTCCCCCTGCATCCCGGACGAGATCTCCGAGGACATTTTCATCACGATCGGCCACTTTGACCCGAAGCGCGTGACCGTCACGGGGAAGGGCCTCTTCAACAGCATCGCCATCACCGGCGTCGACCCGCGCGTCGAGGTCCGTCGAGCCCCGACGGCGCTTTATGCGAAGGTCCACCGCCACCTCCGCGTGATTCACGCCGCGGTGGAGCCGAAGGGCGGGGCGGCCACCCTCTACTCCACCCGCCTGATCCCCACGCTGCCGCCGGCGCCGTCTTTTTTGGATTGCACGGCCCTCGAGGCGGAGCGGTTGACCTTTTGCGCGTCCCTCATCGCCAAGCGAAACGCGGAGGTCGGGGCGGACGACGCCCCCCACGCCCTCCCGCGCAGCACCGAGGCCCTGCTCCAGTCCTTCCCCGTTGCGAGCTCCGATTCGGAGGAAAGCGGGGAAAAGACGAGCCCGCCCAGCCCCGCGTTCTGTCGGACGATGCGGCGGAGCTCGACCTCGATGAACGGCCCCACAAAATACGTGCTCGCGTCCTATTTGCTCGATTTCGGCCACATGACCCGCAATAACGTCCGAACGACCAAAGTCCGCATCACCAACACCAGCTCGGAGCCCCTTTTCATCATGCTGGACAGCAAGGAGCTGGCGAACCTGCCCATCACCATCAACCCGATGCGCGCCCAGTCCCTCGCCCCGATGGCCTCGCAGTCCTTCGAGGTCACGATCGACGTCGCCACGCACTACGAAAAGCTGATTTTCCCCGGGGACAACACCTTTGAATTCACCATTGACGTGAAAGGGGGGCCGGTGATTTTGCTCGCCTGCCATTGCTACGTCGCGACGCCGCACCTTCGCCTGAGCGAGACGCTCATCGACTTCGGCGACGTCCTGCTCGGGAATGTGAAGATCATGCCGCTGGTCCTGACGAATATCGAGGCCGTGCCGTGCACGTGGAAGCTGAGCTTTCGGAAGCACTCGGGGAATACGATGGCGGCCGCCCCGCCCGCCGGCCTTCTCCCCCCGGGCGGGGGGACGAAGGAGTTTTGGTGTCGTCGGGAAAAAGGCGTCATCCCCCCGCACGAGAAGGCGACCATCGATGTGTGCTTTGCCCCGCTCTCCACCGAGGCGCTGCAGATGCGGCTTCAGATTCGCGTCCAGAGTAATCTGAAGTTAATCACCGTCCACTGCAAAGGGACCGGGCGGGAGATGAACGTGGTGATCCACCCCAGCCCTTTTTTGGAGTTTCCCGTCATGAGCCCCTTCACGGTGAACCACGCCCCGCTCCGCATCATGAACTACGAGGAGACCCCGGTCGAGGTGGTTTGCTATAACCTGGACGGCGCCCACGCCGAGGAGCACTATATTTTAACCCAAATCCTCAAAAGACAGGAGTGCGTCTTCCACGACGCGAACCCCGCGACGGCGGAGCCGAGTGCGCCGTATCTGCTCTTTCCTTTACGCCACGCCGGGGAGTCCTTGCCGCACGACATACTCGATGCCGTCTATGAGGACTTGGCGGACCAACTCAAGCAGGAGGCCTTGAGCGCCGAGGCCGGCGAGCTCGCGGGCTCGGCGCCGGTCGCGAATCCCCTCCCGCCCTACACCCGGATCCCATCCAGCCAATCGCTGGGCAAAGATCGCGACAAGCTCTCCCTCTCCGGCGAGCCCGCGCACGACCTGCCCGCCAAGCCCCACGACGCCGCCCTCTCCGAGGCCCGTTCCGAGTCCCCGACGACGCACGTGAAACCGGCCAAGCCCTTCCCGGGGCTGGCGTCGCTGATGGACGGCCTCGACGACGCCGCGCGGGGCCGGCAGGCGCTCGCGCAGGGCCTGGCCCTGGTCGGCCCGGGCGTCTTCGTCTTCCTCGGGCCGCCCGAGTCGGGGAAAACCACCCAGGCCGACTTCTTCGTTCGCGAGCTCGGCTGCAGGCGGGTGGAGTTCGACCCCTTGATCGCCGCCGAGGCGGCGCGGGACACGGCGAACGGGGAGTACCTGCAGAACCTCATCACTTTGTTGAACCTGCGCGTCGGCGAGAAGGACCGCGAGGCCGCCGGGCCCGGGGAGCGCAAAAGCGCCGACAACG